GGGCTTCCTAGGAGAAAGAGAGAGAGAGAGGCCTTCCTAGGAGAGAGAGAGAGAGAGAGAGAGGCGGGGGGCTTCCTAGGAGAGAAGGCGGGAGGGGGGGAAGGGGACTTCCTAGGAGAGAAAGCGGGGGGGGGGAAGGGGGCTTCCTAGGAGAGAAGGCGGGGGGGAGGAAGGGGGCTCCCTAGAAGAGAGAGAGAGAGAGGCCTTCCTGGAAGCCCTCCCGGCTTCGGAGAAGCCCTCTCAGAAGCTCCCAAGCCCTGCTCAGAAGGAGGATCGCCTGCCGCCCCACGGTGACGTTCGTGATCCAGTGCAGCAGTCTGCACGTTGGATCGACGAGAGCTTCGAGGAGGACGTCGCGGGGGGCCTCGCGGAGAGCTGCGAGGAGGACGTCGCGGGGGAGGTCGCGGAGCACCTCGAGGCTGCAGCAGCCTGCATATGTGTCGAGGAGGACCTCGAGGAGGACTTCGCGGAAGGCTTCGACACTGCAACGCAGGCGATCGACTATCTCATCATGCCTCTGCGGACGCCCACACACCATGGAGAAGATTCTGGCCTCTGGAGGCCCGTTCTTGTTCACCCATTCGGCGGCGAGCCCAGGGGGGAAGGGAGAGGGGGCGGGCCTTCTCGCAAGGCTCGGAAGCCTCCCAGCCTTCCGCGAAGGATTGCAAACCGCCCCGAAGACATGGGAGACTTCTCAGAAGGCCAGAACGCTCCTGAGAAGCCCCGCTGCCTTCTGAGAAGGCCTTCTCCTCCTCGCTTACCCAACCGTTCGCCGCCGCACTTCGCTCGTGCTCGCCTGACCCTCTGAGCCCCTGCCGGTGTCCCTGGATGCCCCCCGGATTTGGACACAGGGGCAGCCTTGAGGTGCGACGATAGGGGGGATAGGCATTGGGGGGATGCATCGACCTGGAATCGGCGATACACTGTCGATAGATCGGCGATAGCCCCCCGATAGTGAATCCGCACCTTCCTGGGTGGGATGGGGCTATCGGGCCCCTGTCGGCGATCAATGGGCGATTGGGGGTCGATGCATCCCCACCTGTGCCTATCCCCCCCTACCGTTGCCCCCGAAGACTCTCCACCCCTCGGCTTCCGACAGAGTCCCCGGTGTCCCCCGGATGCCGCCGATGCCTGCCCCACCCCTCGGCGTTCACCGTCCCAGCCAGCGGCCGAAGCACGGACAGAGCACCGACTGCCAGCGGCACGGCTCCAAGGGCGCCTCACTTCGCACTCTTCGCGCTGCGATAAAAAGCTTAACTCGGGCATTTCCCCCTGCAGGCGAATTTTGAAAGAAAAATTGTAAAAAATCGTCCCCAGACTATTGGTACTATTTTTGAATATTCCTCCTGTAGAGGGACAGGCCCGATTTAATGATAAGCGCGAGGCGCGGGAATGTAGCTTCGCGCCCTGGCACCGACCCCCAGGGGAGAAAGAGGAGGATGATAAGCATCGTTTAACCGATCCCCATCCCCACCAGCGTGGGCCGGGCCCCACTGGCCGATTTACCACCCTGATGGGGATACGGGCTGCTCTCTGGGGGTTTCGAGGGGCATGTCCCCAACTGAGGTCGTGAGACGGTGGGTCTCGAGATGTGGCTATGGATGGGGATGGGGATCGGTTAAACCATACTGAGATGAGGAATCGGAGCCGAAGCGCGAAGCGCGAATAATTTCGCGCCCTCGAGGGCGCCCTTGGTGCAAGGGGGGGGTCTCCGGAGAAGGGCCGAGGCTCACGGGCCTGCCCTTGGCCCTCTCCGGGGACCCTCGGAGGCCTCCAGGGACCCCTGGAGGCCTCCAGGACCTCCTCCTCCTCCTCCTCCTCCTCCTCCTCCTCCTCCTCCTCCTCCTTCCTCCTCCTCCTCCTCCTCCTCATCCCCATACCCCTCCCCTCCCCCTCCCATTTCTCTCCCCCTCCCCCTCCCCCTGACCTTCCCCTCCTCCTCTCCCAAGACATCCACCCGAGCCCTTTGGCGTATGGAGTCGGAGTGCTCGGACGAGGATCCCTGGCCTGCCCTTGGGCCCTCTCCGGGGAACCCCTGGAGGCCTCTAGTCTAGTAGGCCCTGGAGGCGCTGGGGACCTCTGCAGACAGCAAGGGACTGCACGGCTCCCCCGGGGCCGTAGGCGACCCGAGGCGGAGGGAGGAGGAGGAGGAGGAGGAGGAGGAGAAGGAGGAGGAGGAGGAGGAGGGAGGAGAAACAGGAGGAGGGAGGAGGGAGGAGGGAGGAGGGAGGGAGGAGGGAGAGGGGAGGAGGGGAGGAGGGAGGAGGGGAGGAGGGAGGAGGGAGGGAGGGAGGAAGGGAGGAGGAGGAGGAGGAGGAGGAGGAGAAAGGAGAGAGGAGAGAGGAGGAGGAGGAGGAGGAGGAGGAGGAGGAGGAGGAGGAGGGGTCGCCGAAGCCCTTCAGAGAAACCCTCCACCAGGGGCCAAGACCTCCACAGGAGCCCTTCGGTTTATGGAGTCGGAGTGCTCGGGCGGGGTCAGACGACCGCAGGGATGGACCTGTTTCCTTTTTCGTTATGTCTTCGCTGTCCCTCGTTTTGTCTTCAATCCGCCGTTGCTGCAAAACGAAATCAAAGCGACTGCGGGGCCCTTGTCCGACATTGTCGTGGTCGTCATCGTCATTGTCCTTGTCGTCGCCCTCGCTGCTCACCGTCACCATCGATATCGGCATCGTCATCAACATCGTTCCCTCATCGGTCGTCGTCGCTATCGGCATCATAAATCGCATGGTCAGCATCATCTGCCATGGCCTGAGAAGGAGGGAGTCACCAGACTCGAACGTGGTGATGCCAAACATAAGGATAGGAGTATGTTTCAAACTGGCAAGGGAGGAAGGGGGCGGGAGGAGGCAGCAAGCAGGGAGGGAAGGTGGACGAGGCAAGACAGGGACCATACAACTACAAGGATGGAGATTGCAAGAGAAATGCGGGAAGCAGACCAGGCAGCAGACCACACAGAAACACATGTATGGTGACATCGTGCAACATGGGACTCTCGGAAATGGAGGAGAGGGGGAAGCATGGGAAAAGAGAGGCGCTCGCAACATATCTGGCATCCCCCTCACCTGTCCCTTCCCATTACGCTGGCCGACGGGCGTCACAGCGGAGACCCGGACCCTCCAGGACGGCCCACCGTCTCATGCGCAATCAGAGTGGGGAGCTGCATATACTGGAGGAAGAGGAGGCGGCGACGAGCAGGAGGACGAGCAGGAGGACGAGCAGGACGAGGAGCAGCACGAGCAGGAGCAGGAGCGGGAGGCACATGGGAACAGCAGGAGGGCCAGGGGAAGGCGCAGGGAGAGCGAGGGGGGCGACGCCGACGAGGAAGGGCTCGGATGCAGGGATGCAGCCCGCGCTGGGTCGAGAGCGCCACCTTGGACGACGGGATCAAAACGCCAGTGCCTGAATGCTCGGGTTGTGGATGCCACGGCATTGGACACCCGAACAGTCCCATCATCGAATTAAGCATGTGTGTTAACATGTCGGAAACATATCCTGACTGTGTTTCGACCACTTTTTCTATATTAGAAGAAGTTTTAACACATGCTTAGACACCTGGAAATTATTTGGCCACATGCTTCCTCTCCACTGATCGTCCTCCACAATGCTCGGGGATGGACAGAACCAACTTAAGTAAAACGCGGCTTAGTGAAAACGACCTCGGGCCCAGACCTGGCGGGCGCAAGCTTGGAAAATGACGGTCGCGGCGCCCCCTCGAGAACCGAAAACGGACAATTCACTAATCAACGTGTCAGGGTGGGGGTTCTGTCCACCCCCGATCAAAACGCCGATGCCTGAATACAGCAAACGCTGTAAAAAGAACATCGCTCTGAACCATCCCAGACGTTCCGATCCGGCAGAAGCTGGCCCCCGTTCTCCGACGCTGCCGCCCCTGTGCGGAAGCACAGGCGGGAGAGAGGGGGCCCCGCTCGGACACAGTCCGGAGCAGAAGGGAGGAGAGCGGCACTCGTACGACGACAACACGTCGTGCAGGGAGGAGAGGAGGAGGAGGAGGAGGAGGAGGACGAGGAGGAGGAGGAGGAGGAGGAGGGAGGAGGGGGAGGAGGGGGAGGAGGGGGAGGAGGGAGGAGGAGGGGGAGGAGGAGGAGGAGGACGAGGACAGGAGGAGGACGAGGAGGAGCCCCACTTCTGCCCACCCTCAGCCCCCCCATCTGTTCCGCGGCAGCTCCTCCCCCCTTCCCCCTCCACTCCGGTCCACTCGAAGGAGAGAAAGCGCACATACCCCTACAGGCGGATTTTGGACGACAAATATAAAGGATTGACAGAACTTTGAAGACATTTGACATAACCAAAGAAGGTAAAATATTAAAATAAAGCATGGAAACAACAAAACAATGGTTTTGGACGACGAATAAAGAATTGACAAAACTTCGAAAACGCATGTCAAAATCAATAGAATGAAAGATTAAAGTAAAGAAAATGGAAGAAACAAGTCAATATTTGCCAAACATTGTGAAAAAGTCGTCTCCATACTATTTGTTGCCTATTTTTGTATGTTCCTCCTGTAGAGGGATGTGCCCGACTTAAAATTTGGGGAGCGAGAAAAAAAACGGCAAAAGCATAAAAACTCAGAGCTCCGCGCGGACTTCTCGGATCGGCGCTCGGCCCCGCTCCCTGGCGCGCGGAGTGCGCCAGGGGCGGCGCCGGAGGCGCCGCTAGGGGGCCCCAGCGCTGATCCAAGAGATCCGCGCGGGCCTCCGAGTTGTTCATTATGTGTACATTTCTTCGCTCCCCGATTCGTGGCGCCATCCACGCACGGGGAGCCTCAGCAGCCATGCATACAGCGGGAGCTCGACCACGAGCAACCTTCCAAGAGAAGCCCAACCCTGAGACCCTAAGACGTCCGTGGATGGTTGGTGCGGGAGCGCCACTCCTTCCACAGCAAAACCGCCGAAATCCAAGAAACCCAGGGCACCCTGGAGGCCAGCAGGGTGTTTATTGGTATGGGCTTCCACAGCAATCCAGCATGAGCATTCCTCCTCCTCCTCCTCCTCCTCCTCCTCCTCGTCCTCCTCCTCCTCCTCCTCCTCCTCCTCCTCCTCCTTCGGCGGTGGAGAAACCTCCTTTCAGTCAACCATCCTCTGGTGAAAACGGCCTAGGACCGAAACCGACGGACCTGGACCCGCAAAAATGACGGCCGCAACGCCCTCCAGCGAACCGAAAACGGCAACTTCGCGAATCGACGCGTCAGGGTAGGAGGTCTATCAACCTCTTCCTCCTGCTCCTCTCGGGCCGGGCGAGAGGGGGAGGCGGGACAGGAATTATCAACGCGTCGGCTTCATGGGGCCGGCTTCCTGCCGCCTCCTTGCGAGAGATGCGCCACCACATCCTCGGAGGAGGAGGAGGAGGCCTGGCCCTGGCAAGCTCCAATCTTGTCGCTTCGGCCCGGGCGTCCTCATCCCGAGCGTTTCGGGCTCGTTTCCTGCGGCGCCAGCTTGTCCAACCCTGGCCACCTCCATCTTCATGGAGCTTCTGGCTGCCACGTTTTCCGGTTTCTCTGTACTCCCCGCTTGACCAAAATACCCCCGTCGTCCGAGTCAATCCTTCTGCTGATCCTCCTCCCCCTCCTCCTCCTCCTCCTCCTCCTCCTCCTCCTCCTCCTCCTCCTCATCATCATCATCATCATCATCATCATCATCATCATCATCATCATCATCATCATCATCAGCATCATCATCATCATCATCTTCATTCATTCATCATCATCATCATCATCATCATCATCATCATCATCATCATCATCATCATCATAATCATCATCATCATCATCATCATCATCCTCTTCTTCTTCATCATCATCATCATCACCATCATCATCATCATCATCATCAGCAGCAGCAGCATCATCATCATCAGCATCAGCATCAGCATCACCATCATCATCATTAGCATCACCATCATCATCATCGTCAGCATCAGCATCATCATCATCAGCATCATCATCATCATTATCACCATCATCATCACCACCACCATTATCATCAGAATCATCATCATCATGATCATCATCATCATCATCATCATCATCATCATCATCATCATCATCATCATCAGCATCAGCATCAGCATCAGCGTCAGCAACATCATCGCTATCATCATCGTCATCATCATCAGCATCATCATCCCCATCCTCAACATCCTCAGCATCATCAGCATCATCAGCAGCATCCCCATCCTCATCATCATCAGCATCATCATCATCATCAGCATCATTATCATCCTCATCCTTATCCTCATCATCATCCTCATCCTCATCCTCATCCTCGGGAGGACGCTTGGCAGCAGGAGCACGCGTGACGCCTCTCGCCACGGAACATCACCACGTCGCCCAGCTGCAGGGTGACTTGCCGGTGGCCCTCGTTGCCCTTTGTGGGGAGAAGCGCTCCCTCCTCGCTCATCCTCCATCCTCCCTCCTGCTCCTGCTGCTCCTCCTGCTCCAAGCTCCTCCTCGCTGCTCCCTCCGCGTCCTCCTCACAGGTGCTCTCGGCCCCCCTCCCCATCTGCGGCATTCCCAGTTCGGGCGCGCTGATGGTCACAGTCAGGCCACTGTCCTTCGAGCCACGAGTCGCCTCCCCGTACACAATGAGATGGGACTCCAAATCCTCAGAATCCTGCTGCTCCTCCTCCTCCGCCTCCTGATCCTCCTCCTCCTCCTCCTCCTCCTCGTCCTCCTCCTCCTCCGTTCCATTCTCCTCCTCCTCCTCCTCCTCCTCCTCCTCCTCCTCCTCCTGCGTGCCTTTCTCATCACCTCCTCCTCCTCCTCCTCTTCCTCCTCCTCCTCCACCACCTTATCATCCTCCTCCTCTTCCTCCTCCGTTCATTTCTCATCCATTACTTGTTTGTCTTTCTCCTGGTCCGATCCTTCATCCGCCTCGTCCTCATCCACCTCATCACAAACATCGGCAACACCAACAATACCACCATCACCATCATCACCAGTATTACCATCACCGTGACCGTTACCATCACCATCACCATCCTCATCATCCTCATCGTAATCATCACCATCACCATCACCATCACCATCAGCATCGTCACCATCATCATCAACATCATCATCGTCATCGCGATCATCATCATCATCATCACCACCACCACTGCCATCATCATCACAAGCATTCGACCTTCGCACGCCGAAAACAGCTCGCACCGCCACCGTATTCCGACCTCTCTGAGAGCATGGCCACCAGCGTCACACCAGACTTGTTGTCAACGTGTGGCTCGATGTAGCACTCACCACCCTCGCGAGCGACGTCGTAGTCGATGTACTCGACCTGTCGGGAGAGCCCAACGCTTGGAGATGCGAGCAGATACGGCCAACTGGTGACACAGCCCTGCGAGAAGGTGCATGATAATGTTGTGGCAATGAGATTCCCCTCTCGGGCAAAGGATCAGAAGGCGGACAGGCAACGCCAACCAGAATCATAATGGTACGCCAGAAGTGAGTCATGGTACTCGAACCTGTGATTTGGCAGAGTTCGAAGATGGCTTCGTCGACTTCACGATTTCGCAGTAGCTTTCTGGCAACCTCGTTACAGTGGAGGCCCGACCACAAGAAACCTTCCACAAGAAGCCCAACCCTGGAACTCCAGGACGCCCATTGATTTCCGGCGTGGGAACGTCACGCGTTCCATAGCAAAACCATTGAAACCCAAGAAATCCAGGGCACCCTGGAGGCAATCAGGGTGTTTATTGGCATGGGCTTCCACCGCAATCCAGCATGAGCATCATCCTCCTCCTCCTCCTCCTCCGGCGGTGGACAAACCTCCCTTTAGTAAACCACCCTTTAATGAAAACGGCCTAAGACCGAAACCGACGGACCTGGACCCGCACAAATGCCGGCCGCGACGCCCTCTCGCGAACCGAGAACGGCCGCTTCGCCAATCGACGTGTGTTGGCCTGGGGGCCAATTCGCGAACCGAAGACGGCCAATTGGGCCTGGGGGGCCTCCGCTGTATTTCGGAAGCTGGGCGAGGGCTGCTAAATCCGTGGCTGCTAAAATCGACCTCCGGGAAATGTCTTCGTCCTTCCGGGAAGAAACCCGTTGACTGTTTCGCGTGCCGCGCTGTTCATTCCGGGAAGTTGTTTTTTTTCCTTCCGGGAGGGCCGTTTTAGCAGCCACGGTTTCAACAGCCCTCGCTCTGCTTCCGAGTACTTGAGTGGTGCCCACTGCTGCGAACTTGCCTCTCGCTCCCTCCGCTCGCGGAACTGCGCGCGGCCCCCCGCGCGCGATCGGACCTGACCGACTGACGAGAAGTCGCCACCGCCTGGCACTGTACGCCATCCTCCTCCTCGTCCTCCTCCTCCTCCTCCTCCTCCTCCTCCTCCTCCTCCTCCTCCTCCTCCTCTCCTCCTCCCTCCTCCCTCCTCCCTCCTCCCTCCTCCCTCCTCCCTCCTCCCTCCTCCTCCTCCTCCTCCTCCTCCTCCTCCTCCTCCTCCTCTACAAACGGTGGCACTGCGAATGCAAATCTACGTCGGCTGCGAACCCATGGCTAGATACATTTGTCCTACAGCCGCCCCAAAGAAGCACCTGAAAGAGGATTCCAATGAGGCTCCAACAAGGGGCCGCAGGGAGTCTCCAAGAGGCCCCCGAAAGACACCCCAAAAGACCCACGGAAGTATCCAAGAGGAGTCGGACCCATAACCCAGGCACGTTGGCGGGATCGGCCGAAGGTAACTAACTAGATCCGCCGCCCCATGTTGCTTGAAAAAGGATTTGATGGCGTACAGGAAGATCAAAGACGCCCACTGTGAATCACCGCCGCCCACTGCCCGTTTGGAAAATCCCACTTGGGCCGAAGTCTGGCCAGCCGAATTAGTAGACTCTGTGTTCATTCAGACCTTGTGGAGCCCCATTGCGAGAACGCATGGGGGAGGAAGAGTCACTGCACCGACCTTGCAGACGTGCTGCAGCGGATTTTTGCGTGGAATGTGTCAATGCAAGACCCCAAAACGGCGAGTGGAAAACGAGGTGAATTTCGCGTGGACGTGTTTCGTCTTCATTCCTGGCCTAAAACAAATCCGCACGAAATTCACCTCGAAATCCGGAACGAAATTCTCCTGGACACTCCGGGCCCATCCTGTTGTTTTCCGAACGAAATCAACTCTGCGATGTTGGCGCCATGAGAAGAGGACGAGGGAGGAGAGGGAAGAAAAGGAGGGCGAGGAGGGGGATGCGTTGTAGTTTCACCGCAGGCGCACTCACCCACTCCACGTGGCCACGTGGCTCGTCCAGCAAACGCAGGGGGGGCTCCGTGCAGAGGGAGGGGAAGGAGCAGCAGCAACCAAGGCCGCGCGAACGGCGAAGTTGGTTACGATGTTGGGAATCCGATGTTTGTGACACCGAGCTCGCGCAAACACATTGTAGGGCATCACGAACCACACTTTCCTGCATTTCAAATGTGCGAACGTATCGAGCGACAACGACGCAGCAAACTGTAGGAAAGAGCGGGCCACGATGTCCTACGATTGGCTTGGCCACGAACCGCTCCCACCTGCAATGCCGAAACCTACATCGCCGTTACCTGCATTGCCGTTAGCGCGTCTGCGGAGCAGGCAGGCGGCAGAGTAGAGTTAGGTCGGGCATGTCCCCCTACAGGCGGATGGTGGACGAAAAAGTTAAAATAGTCAAGACATGCTCAAAAAATGCTCAAAAAATGCTCAACATGGTCAACACATCGTCCCCGTATCATTCGTTGACAAGTTTTGAATATTCCCCCTGTAGAGGGACAGGCCCGACTGAAAGTTAGCGCGTCTGCGGAGCAAGCAGGCGGCAGAGTAGAGACGGGGGGCACAGCACGACGGTGCCGCGACACTCGTCTCGGGTCGCGCGAAAGGGGGGGACAGCAAAGGGGGGGTTTGAGAATCAGCTCACGCAGCTGATTTTCCCGGCGCCTCCCGGCGCCGGGAGGCGGCCATGTATCGAGGAATGGGCCCGGCGGCGGGGCCGGAACCAGCTGCACGCAGCAGATTTCGTAACCCCCCCTTTCCCTGTCCCCCCCTGTCGTCCGGCCCGATCGTCGCCACCGTCGCCCCTGCAAGCGCGGACGGTGCCGCGCGGTGCCTCGCGCGCGCGGGCCGCAGGCGCGACGGCACCGCCCCCCCAAGGGGGGCAGCCCGTGCTGCGGCCCCGAGGGCAGGGGGGGGGGGGCGCCCTCTCGACACAAGCATTAGGTCGGGCCTGCCCTCCTAGATTGTGGACGAAAAATAAAAAATAGCAAAAACAGATCCAAACATGTTCAAGAATACTCGTCCCAAGACTATTTCTTGACTATTTTTGAAAATGAGGAACAAGCCCGACTTAACACAAGCCGGGGGGGGGAACGCACTCGCCCGTCTAACGGCGCGTCCCGTGCCCCACACAGGGCAGGCGCTTGCGCCTGCGTCGCTTGTGCCTCGGGCGGGGGGGGCACTTTTCCCCAATCAGTGCTTGCACTAGGGGTCCTAGCGGAAATTGAAAGATCTGGCGAAAGAGTCGCGCCGATTTTGGAGGCCGACTGGGTTCCCGGGCTCCCGGTCCCGGGCTCCCGGTCCCGGGTTCCCGGGTGGCCGATTTCGGTGGGTTCAGGGTTCCCGGGTTCCCGGTCGATCTCCTGATCGATCAAGCTATCCACTGAGTGGGGTTTTTCTCTGGTGCACTTGTCTCTCTCCTCCTCCTCCTCCTCCTCCTCCTCCTCCTCCTCCTCCTCCTCCTCCTCCTCCTCCTCCTCCTCCTCCTCCTCCTCCTCCTCCTCCTCCTCCTCCTTCCCCCCTTAAGAACCACCCCGACACGCGAAGTCGTTTCGTAGACGCGCCCAGAGAAGAGATCGGACAGCGCAAGGCTTTTGGTAGACTCCCAGGGCCGTTCAGCAGACGCCTGCTGTCTGGTCAGGGTGGTTTCTCCTCCCCTGAATCGAGGCGCTGGGGCGGCCGCGCGCGCACGGCCGCTCGCTCTCCAGGACTCCAGGCCCGCCCGCGGCCGAGCCTGCACAGAAGGACCGAGCCGAGGCCGCCACGGCGCAGGCGAAGGGGCCACGGCACGGCAGAGCGGCCAGCGGGGGGACACGCGGACGCGAGGGCGCACGGCAGGCGCGCGGGCCGTCGGCAGCGGCAGCGGCAGCAGGGGGGGCAGGAGGAGAGCACGACTGGGGGGCCGCGAGGGCGAAGGCCCAGCAGCAACCCCACCCCGCAGGGGAGAGGGGCAGCAGCACGGGCAGGGGCGGAGAGGGGCTTGAGAAGGCCACACATCACAGCGTGATCGCCGGCGCCATCGAGCGGCCCCGAGCGCAGGGCACCAGGGGCACTGGAGCTGCGAGCTCAACAGCAGGGCTGTACCTAAACGGTGTTGTCCGTTTTCGTTTTGTTTTCGTTTTCCCCCGTTTGTCTTCGATTCGCCTTCACCGCAGAACGAAATCGAAACGAAAACGGCCCACGAAATCGCCAAAACACCGCTCAGGTCCAGCCCTGCCCAACAGCGTCACGATGCAGTGGGGGCCCGACCACTGAAACCCCGGGACGTCCACTGATCTTCGGTGCGGGAACGTCACGCCTTCCATCGCAAAACCATCGAAACCCAAGAGACCCAGGGTTCGGGGATGGACAGACCCCCATTGAGTAAAACGTGGTTTAGTGAAGACGACCTGAGGCCCAAACCTGGCGGGCGCGAGCCTGGAAAATAACGGCCACGGCGCCCTCTCGAGAACCGAAAACGGACAATTCACCAATCGACGTGTCACTGTTGGGGGTTCTGTCCACCCCCGAAGGGTGCCTCTTGGCATGGGTCTCCACTGGAAGGCGGGAGGGCAGTGCGCGGGAGGGTCCAGCGACCCCCTGGGGGCTGGGGCCCGCGCGGCGGCACTGATGTGGGGGCCCCCCATCGAGAGAGCAAGGGCAAAGGGGGCCCTGGGACACGCAAAGGAACAGACACAAATGGAAGGATTCCCCATGCTCTCCCATATTCTCTGGGTTCTCGTCTTCCCCCCCCACTTCCCACATTTTCCCATATGTTCCTGGGAGTCGACGATCAATTGTGTCTATGTGTTTCTTTCCCTCCTGAAAGGGGGCAGTCCGCAAATCGGCAGCAGCATGCCAGAAGGGCGACCGCCGAAGGCGAGGTAACGTGGGCAATGGTATGGCTCCCAGGCGCCCGTGTAGGCGACCACATGTGAACCCTGCCCCCGCCCCCAATTCCCCTTAGATATCGTGGGGTGGGGATAGGGTTCATGTGGTCACCGACCGTGAGCAGTTGCCAGGGTTGGCGCGCTGTCTGTGCTCGCCCCACTCCCACTGCGAGCGAGGTGGGAACCCGAAGCCTCGCAGTGGCCGTGCGCGCCGTCTCCAAGCCTACGCGGGAGAAGCGGAACAAACAACCGATGAACTCAGCAAACAGGTGTGGCCACGAAACCTTCCGCGCGGCAGAAGGAAAACAGATGTCCCCAAGCAGCAGGAGCAAGTGAGAGGCCAGGCAGAGACAGAGGGAAAGCGGGGAACCCACACAGGGCGAAGGAGTACACCCAAGCAAAGTAGGGATGGAATTACGCAAGGGGTCGCCGTGGACCCCGCGGGCGAGACTCACAGAACACAGTCGCTACGTTATTGTAACTTCTAGCGAGCAGTCTCAAACGAGCATGAAAGACTTGGGAAAGTTGGAAGGCTGTGCCAAGTCAGTGGCCAAGACGTCCCAAGAGGCCTTGGGCCGCCGCAAAAGGGCCCCGAACTGCCAAAATCATTGATGTTGTTGAGGTGCTCAATGTTCTGGGGCCCTCGGACTGCCGAGCTTCCCACGCACCGTGACGGCCCAAGAGGCCCCCAAGACGGCCCAAGACGGCCCAGGACGGCCCCTTGAAGAGGGCCCCAAAACTGCGCCAGAGGGCTCCGAGGCGGCCCCAGACGCGCTCAGGACGGGCCAAGAGGGCCCAGGAGGAGGAGGAGGAGGAGGAGGAGGAAAGGAGAAGGAGGAGGAGGAGGAGGAGAAAAGGAAGAGGAGAAGAGAGGAGGAGGAGGACAGCAGCCCCAAGAAGGGCCCAAGACGGGGAGCACGACCGGAGAACCCGAGCCTCCCGCTCCAAGAAGCCCTCGGGATGCCCCAGGGAGGCGCCGAGGGACCCCCCAGGGGCCCCAAGAGACCCCCAGGAGGCCCTCAAGACGACCCGCGAGGCCCTAAAACGGCTCCCGAGATGCATCCAAACGGCCCCGTAAGAGGCCACCGAGAGGCCCCCCCGCGACATCCCAACGAACATCCCCAGAGGCGTATGATCCGCAGCCCAGGCACGGTGGCGGGATGGGCCGAAGATCCCAAACCCTTTTGCAATTCCACGCCCCGCCCCCGTCCTCCCGTCTCCCTCCCCTCCCCCTCCTCTGTCGCCTCCCCCTCCCCTTCCTCCTGCCCCTCCACCTGCCCCCCCGGTCCACCCCCCTCTCTCCTCGTTTTCCTCCTTCTCCTCCTTCCCCTCCTCCTGCTGTTCCCCACCCTCGTTCTCCTCGTGGCCTCCCCACAGCCTCCTCTTTCTCTCCCGTTCCTTCCTCCTACCCCTCCTCCTTCTCCTCCTCCTCCTCCTACACCTCCTGGCTCCTTCCTCGCCCTCCTCCTTCCCCTCCCCCTTCTGCCGGAAGACAGAGGCGGCGCCAGCCTCCGGGTACACCGTGCTCTTCTTCTTCCGCAGCCGCTGCCAGCCCTCCGCGTCCGCCCGGCGCATCAGCGCCAGGAGCTTGGCGTAGAGCGCCGGCTCCAGCGCGCGCAGCTGCATCTCGAAGCGAACGACGTGGTGCTTGAACGCGAGGTACGCCTTGCGGTCGTGTATCTCCTCCACCGAGGGGCGGTCGGCGTCGTGTCTCTCTGCCCCTGCGCACGCCCCAGCCCCACGAAGTGGGTCCGAGTGGCGGCACTGATGGGGTCTGGCCTCTGGGGCCAAGTGTTTCCCAACCCTCTCGTATTGCTGCCGCTTTGAATCTGCAGCGCCGCGCGTCCCACCTCCTCGCCGTCTCCCTTCCCCCTCCCCCTTCCCCACCTCCCCCTTATCCCTCCCCCTCCTCATCCCCCTCCTCCATCCCCACCCATCCCCCTCCCCCTCCCTTCCCCGCTGTCGCACCACCAGACGTGCCCGTAGGCCGAGCTGATCTTTTGACTTCAAACTTCCGAGCTGGGCTTTTGTCTTCGAACTTCCTTGCAATATCAAAGTTATGAAGCTTCAGAAGCTCGCAAGAAGTACAAGGGTGGACGATTCAACATTTTAAAGATCGCATTCTCGCTGTACGTCCGCGCGGATTAGACTCAAAATTTGCAACAACAGAATACAAACCCCCCGATTATAAAGTCTGGACCGCAAAGGTCGCGGAAACTCAGCGTGGATGGGCCTCGTTAGGCCGCGGGGCCCCGGTACAGTGTTTCAGAGACCACCATTGCGGATTCCCGGTTCATGCCTCATCCCCTTTGATATTATAATCGCCAAATGGGGCGACGACTGGAAATTCGCATTCCGCCTAATACTTCCCCAAAAAATGTCCGGTCGCTTCCCAGACGACCAAAAATTTTCAGAGGCGACCGGAAATTCGCGCTTTCGCTCAAGACTTCCTCACAACAAAAAATTATGGTACGATTGATGTTGGCTGGAAGTCGAGTCGTGGCTTGGAAGATCTTATGCAAAGCGTGTCTGCTTCCTCTGGTGCCCGCGATTCTACACAGAACTCTCTCTGTCAGCGCTCCATGGTCTGCTGTGCCGTGCCAGTGTTCGGCGCGCTGCCCGCTTTCGGAGTCATCTCGGAGGCCATGTCCAAAATCGGGAGCCCAGACCCATCGAGGGTCCGCGATCCAGGTCCGATCGGAGAAAGACGATGCAAACAGCCCTGGGCCGATCCAGACTTTTTAATCCAGCAGGTGGTAGTCGTTTCCCAAATGCGGCTTTCGACATAGCACCGCTCACATTCGCCTCAAACGTTTGCAGAAACTACAAGGATGACGGGCTTCAGTGCTGGGCGCATTCGTCTTCAGGGTTTGCGACAAGTTTGAAGGATGGAGGGCAGGTCGGTGTCAAAATGGCGCCCTCGCCTGAACGCCGCGCGCAGTCGTCTTGCAAGCTTGTGCAAATTACAAGGTGGGAAGCAATTCGCTGTCAAGCAAGGACTCTCGCCTTAGCGCTGGGTACATTCGTCGTTAGAGTGTCCAACTACAAAAAATCTAGACCTGTCTTAAGACAATATAGAAAGGCTCCATTCTCGCCAACAACTGCTGAAAAGAACTCAAAGTTCTGCAACAAGTACACGGATGGGGATGGAAGCGGCTCCTTGTTTAAACGAGCTCTCGCAGGACATCTCCTTGAACTGTAGATTCCAACCTTTTGGGGTTTGGTTAAGCTCGCTGGAAAGATGCATCTCCAGTTCTTTAAAAAAAAAGAGGCCCCGTGCCTGAAGGGCAGACCCAACGGGTGCGTCGTCTTAGAGTGGGCACTTCCTGCGATGATGAAAAAGGATTGCAACGAAACACGGGGAGGGGACTTGGAACGGGAGGGTGTATGTCTTGCCGCATCGTTGGTGCACCCTGGGCATACTCTTGTTCTCGTTACCCTCCTCTTTGCAAAACAGTCGGGCCCAAGCATTGGGCTTGCGACTGCGAAGGCAAGAGTAGTGATGCAGTCAATGACTTGTGCAGGATGACCGCTCCAGGGAGGGGTCTCGCCTGAGCCCGGGCGCCTGCGAGGTGTCGAACGCCAGGCGAGGGGCGCACACTCCTGCCCAGGCCAAACTGGGGATCCAACTTCTCATGTCGCGGGTGTGGACAGAACGTGGGACACTACAGCGGAGGCCAGTCCACAGGAAACCTTCCGCAAGAAACCCAACCATGAGACCCCAGGACGTCCATCGATTTCTTGCGTAGGAAAGCCAAGGTTTCCGTAGAGAAGCCATCGAGACACAAGAAATCCAGGCCACCCTGAAGGCGAGCAGGGTGTTTTTTCTTGGCATGGGCCTCCACTGTAAGCGCCGCGGCCGTGCTCGCGTCGAACTCCCCGTCTCTGAAAGCGCTGTTGCCCAGAAGAGCGCGGCAATCTGGGCCGCCGTCACCCTTGCCATGCGGAGGAGAGACGCCAGAGTTAGGTCGGGCATGTCCCTCTACAGGCAGATGTTGCAGGAAAGAAGGGGTCAACAAATACTCAACATGTTTTCCGATATTCTAAAATCGTCCTCAGACTATTTTTGACTATTTTTGGTTACTCCTCCTGCCGAGGGACAGGCCCGACTTGATTCCAGAGTCACTCACCGAGGATAGGGTCCAGAACCTCGCGAAAAGGACACCACCGAGGCGCAGGAGAGAACTGGAGGAGCAGGATCGTTTTCGCAGAGTACTGGTGGTTCGCCTGAGCCATGCCGTGGTTCAGTTCCATGGGAAGCATCCAACTGTTGCAGCCGAGAAGCACTCAGACTGTCTCGAAGACATCTCCGACGGCAAGGAAGGATTCGCCACAATCGACTGCGGCGAGGCCATCCTCGGCCTCGACGAGGGCGACCTCGAGATGGACGACACCGAGGAGTGCATCGACCGACGGACGTCCACCGTATAGAGTCCCGCCTCAGCGAGCAAACGAAGAACATTCGCCGAGGTTGCCGAGTCCGTTGGTCAGATCAAGGAGCCCCACAGCGCCCGTCTTCATCTAGAGGCCTCCTAGATGGGGTCGGAGTAGATGGGGTCGAAGGATCGCGCCGCATCGCCGATACATCGGCGATGCATCGGCGATGTATCGGCGATGCACCAGCGATGCAACGTCGACATCGGCGGTGCACCGGCGACGTCGACGTGGAGCAAATCGGGCTCCACATCGAGCCGCATCGCCCCTGCATCGGCGATGCGGCGCGATCCTCCGACCCCATCTACTCGATCTACTCGGACCCCACCTAGGAGGCCTTGATCATCGCCTCACGAAGAAGCGCGCAAGTGTTCGGCGTTGGACAAACCTCCCTTTAGTAAACCTCCCCGTAGTGAAAACGGCCTGGGACCGAAACCGACGGACCTGGACCCGCAAAAATGACGCCCGCGACGCCCTCTCGCGAACCGAAAAAGGCCAATTCCTTAATCGACGTGTCAGGGTAGGAGGTCTATCCACCCCCGAAGTGTGGCGGCGGCGCAGGGGGCGCAGAAGCCTCGTGGAGCTGCAGGCCGGCCCGGCCGGGTCCGCGGGCTGCAGCGGGCACGGGGAGGCGGGCGCGGGGGGCGGGAGCGCCAGCCTTAGGTCGGGCGTGTCCCCCTACAGGCAGATTTCTGATGATATATATATATAATAATAATAATAATAATAATAATAATAATAATAATAATAATAATAATAATAGTAATAATAATAAAAATAATATTAATAATAATAATAATAATAATAATAATAATGATAATAATAATAATAATAATAATAATATATGCATATATATATACACATATATATATATATAAATATAAATATATATAAACAAAAAATGCCCAAACATACCTGACAAATCGTCTCCATGCTAAATTTTACCATTTTTGAATACTCCTCCGGCAGAAGAACAGGCCCGATTTAACGCTAGACCCCGACTCTTGGAACGGGGCGCCTGCGCGCGAGACGAATCCAGGGCACAACGCACGAGGAAAGAGCGAGGGGTCACGGCAGGTTCGGGTCGCGTCGACGCGGGAGGAGGAGGAGAACCAGGTAGGAGGAGGAGGAGCAGGGGGAGGAGGAGGAGGAGGAGGAGGAGGAGGAGGAGGAGGAGGAGGAGGAGGAGGAGGAGGAGACGAACCGAGGCGGGGGGGGAGGCGTGGTCGCCGCGGCGGCCGCTGGCCAGCCTGGCGCACAGGCGGCGCCTCGACGAAACGACGGCTCCGGGAGCCGCGGGGGGCTGCCGGTGCAATCGGACCTGGGCTGAGGTCGGGCGCGTCCTCCCCTACAGGCGGAGCTTGGAGGAAAAAGGAAAAAATAGTCGAAACAGATTCAAAGAAAGCTCAAACATGGGCAAAAAACGAAAAACGCTCAAGAATAATACTCAAACATGCTCAACAATAGTAGAAACATCGCCCGAGACTATTTTCTGAGTGTCTTTCGATATTCCTCCTGTAGAGCGGCATGTCCGACTGTTACCTAGGCCAGAAGAACACCCTTCAAGAACATGAGACCGTCCGTCGGCCAAAACAAACAGAGCATCCAAGGGTGCCCTCCCCAGGATGCACAAGAACATCCAACAAGCACGAAGAACATGAGGGTACCCTCCCCGAACCGACCTCGATCGTATAACTCGGTCCGATTGTAGCGGAAGATGGCATGAACGGTCCGCCCGAAGTTGCGATTCTCTCGAGCCCATCGGCCACAGGGCACAACAGGACAGCGAGTGGTATTAGGCAAGGAGGACGCGGAGAAAGGAGGAGGTACGCGGAGACCTGCTGTAGATGGATGTTGCCGCCTCCCCGCCCCCGAGGAACCAGCGAAGAAACTTGGCAATGTCTGCGGGCCCGACCAAGCCAAGATTATGATAAGTTCGAGCGGCGTGCCCGAACAGCGAACTGCGTGGGGTGGTCTGCTGCAAAGGCTTGACTGAGCCGATCACAGGCACTTGCGGCTTGCGTCCAAGAACGCCCTTCGATCGGGGCGGAAGCCACGCGCAATCACACTGGTGGTTCCCTTTCTCACATGGCTCCAACATGTTTGACAACATATCGACGCGCTCGGTCGCAAAGCCCATACTTCGCTGTTCGCTGCGTGGCATCAAAGGACTCTTCCGATGCCGCCGCCATGCGAGTGCGCGCCATCCCGTCGATTTGATCAATTTGCCCCAAGACTGGACATGTCTT